CCTCCGACGGGGACGACTGCTGCCAACCGTGAAAACTGAAAATTCACCAAGTTGATACCGGGCTCCCTAGCAACAAGGATCCGTGGAAGAATGGGATTACTTTTAGGATCACGCTGTATCTACGCACTCTCCTTTTTTCGGAATGACTGCTGCCAACCATGGATATTGACACTTCACCAAGTTCACAGTTGGCTCCTGGGAAACTGGGATCCCTGGAAAATCGAGATCATCTTTAGGAACACTCTGTATCTACACACTCTCCTTTATTCCGAATGACTGCTGCCAACCGCGCTAATTGAGAAGTCACCGTAACGAAAGCGTGCCTCTCTTGCCAGCAAGCATCCAAAAATCATCGAGATCAGATTTCGGAACACGCTGTATCATTGCTTCCTTTCTCGATCAGTGCTGACCGATGCCAACCTTGCAAATTGGGAATTCCCAGATTACGAACTGCCGCCCCCATTCGAACAAAGCGTCGATGAGCCGTGCAGGTCGGTTATTTGGAACACCCTGTATCCGCGCTTTCCGCCTCCGACGGGGACGACTGCTGCTAACCGTGAAATCCCAAAATTCACCAAGTTGATACCGGGCTCCCTAGCAACAAGGATCCGTGGAAGAATGGGATTACTTTTAGGAACACGCTGTATCTACGCACTCTCCTTTTTTCGGAATGACTGCTGCCAACCATGAATATTGAGACTTCACCGAGTTCAAAGTGGGCTCCTGGGCAACAAGGATCCCTGGAAAATCGAGATCACCTTTAGGAACACTCTGTATCTACACACTCTCCTTTATTCCGAATTACTGCTGCCAACCGCGCTAATTGAGAAGTCACCGTAACGAAAGCGTACCTCTCTTGCCAGCAAGCATCCAAGAATCTTCGAGATCAGTTTTCGGAACACGCTGTATCATCGCTTCCTTTCTCGATCAGTGCTGACCGATGCCAACCGTGCAAATTGGGAACTCTCCGATCACGAACTGCCGCCCCCATTCGAACAAAGCGTCGATGAGCCGTGCAGGTCGGTTATTTGGAACACCCTGTATCCGCGCTTTCCGCCTCCGACTGGGACGACATCTGCCAACCGTGAAAACTGAAAATTCACCAAGTTGATACCGGGCTCCCTAGCAACAAGGATCCGTGGAAGAATGGGATTACTTTTAGGAACACGCTGTATCTACGCACTCTCCTTTTTTCGGAATGACTGCTGCCAACCATGAATATTGAGACTTCACCGAGTTCAATGTGGGCTCCTGGGTACCACGGATCCCTGGAAAATCGAGATCACCTTTAGGAACACTCTGTATCCACACACTCTCCTATATTCCGAATGACTGCTGCCAACCGCGCAAATTGAGAAGTCACTGTAACTAAAGCGTGCCTCTATTGGCAGCAAGCATCCAAGAATCTTCGAGATCAGTTTTCGGAACACGCTGTATCATTGCTTCCTTTCTCGATCAGTGCTGACCGATGCCAACCGTGCAAATTGGGAATTCCCCGACCACGAACTGCCGCCCCCATTAGAACAAAGCGTCGATGAGCCGTGCAGGTCGGTTATTGGGAACACCCTGCATCCGCGCTTTCCGCCTCCGACGGGGACGACTGCTGCCAACCGTGAAAACTGAAAATTCACCAAGTTGATACCAGGCTCCCTAGCAACGAGGATCCGTGGAAGAATGGGATTACTTTTAGGAACACGCTGTATCTATGCACTCTCCTTTTTTCGGGATGACTGCTACCAACCATGAAAATTGAGACTTCACCGAGTTCATAGTTGGCTCCTGGGCAACAAGGATCCCTGGAAAATCGAGATTACCTTTAGGAACACTCTGTATCTACACACTCTCCTATATTCCGAATGACTGCTGCCAACCGCGCTAATTGAGAAGTCACCGTAACGAAAGCGTGCCTCTCTTGCCAGCAAGCATCCAAGAATCTTCTAGATCAGTTTTCAGATCACGCTGTATCATCGCTTCCTTACTCGATCAGTGCTGACCGATGCCAACCGTGCAAATTGGGAATTCCCCGATCACGAACTGCCGCCCCCATGCGAACAAAGCGTCGATGAGCCGTGCAGGTCGGCTATTTGGAACACCCTGTATCCGCGCTTTCCGCCTCCGACGGGGACGACTGCTGCCAACCGTGATAATTGAAAATTCACTAAGTTGATACCGGGCTCCTTAGCAACAAGGGAACTTGGAAGATTGGGATCACCTATAGGAACACGCTGTGACGAAGCCTGTCGGCGGCTATAACTCATGAGTCCTGTCCATAAAGCTCAAGACACATGCCTCCGGCTCATGAGCCCCGCAAACTTTTGGCACATACTTTCTTTTGATGAATTGGAAAAGCGGGATTTTACATTCCGTCAAGTATGTGCCAACCACAGATTAGTCCAGATCGCTAACATCGGCGGAAGAGCGTGAGTAGCTTTGTGAGCGCCATTGGCGGGAAAATCCATGGGCATTTAAAACTAGGAACCAAAACTGAAATTTTGGCTATTTTCAGCAGATTTTCGGCGGGAGAATACTTCTTTTTCAGATTTTTGTGGGATGAAACGTTCCGAAGAATTCAAGAATTAGTTTCTAAGTAGAATTAATGTGGTTCAATATTTCCAGATTAAATAATTAAGGTGGAAATAAATAAGGAAGGAGAATTAAGTAAAATACGAGTAAACAAGGCTAAAAATTATTGAAACACTTAAAGGTAAGACGTTTCGAGCTGCTTCCAGCTCATTTTCAGCTGCAAAAACACATAAAAACAAGTAAAAAATTGAGTGGCGACCTGACCTCAGCCGTTATCACGTAACCACTCATAATAACGGCTGGGGTCAGGTCGCCACTCAATTTTTTACTTGTTTTTATGTGTTTTTGCAGCTGAAAATGAGCTGGTAGCAGCTCGAAACGTCCTGCTGCCTTTAAGTGTTTCAATAATTTTTAGCCTTGTTTACCCGTATTTTAATTAATTCTCTTTCTTTATTCGTATAATCGGGCTATGTTTTTGTGCTTTATCGGTGGAAATAAACAAATCAGAGTTCATCAGTATACTGAGTAGATGACATTATTGAAAAAATTTGCAGATTATAATATATCATATTTTTGAAGTTTAAAGCCTTAGAAACCGAAAATTAAAGCAAAATCCTGCCAAAATGAGACTTTTGGTTCCTAGTTTTGAATTCCCGCCAGGCCCCCATGAGAGCAGTTAATTGCTACCAACTGTTGTAAGAATATTGAAACAGAATACTTAGCATAACAGTACTTGATAAAATCTTATTTGATCAAAAACCATTATTACACATTACTATTTATACTTTTTTCAAGCTTTATAATCAGATTCAATAGGAAATTTCTCTCGATCCGGTCAAGTTCTTTCACTACTGGTAGTGCCGTCAATTTTCTAAAGTTGCCTAACCTGTAGCAAAATTACTCACGCTTCTGAAGCATTGGCTAGATTGGATGTTAGCGATCTGGACTAATCTGCGGTGCCAACCAGTGTTCGAATCTTACCTTTGAGTTTCAGGAGCCATCTGGCGCATCAAGCCCGATTTTTAGGCGTCATTGAAGATTTTTTAGAGGCCAAATTAACTTTTTGCCCATACATTACGGCGCATTTAGTGAAAAGTTAGACGCAAGATGTTTTCGTAACAGAATCAGTAAGTAGCTGTAATTTGGGGAAAACAAAAGCACAAATGATGAAATCGTGAAGAATAGAAAAAGCTTTCACTTGTGGCGCTGACAATTTCCTTCGAATAATCACCTAATATGAAAATTCAGATTTTTAGGGGCCACGTTGGCGTGGAGCCTTCATTTTTTAGGCGCCATGGCCGATTTTTTATGCGCATTTGGCGCAATGGCGCTTGTGAGTTTCGAACACTGGTGCCAACTGTATGCGGGACTCGTGAGACGTAGGCGTGTGTCTTGAGCGTTGTGACATGGCTCATGAGTTTGACGAAATTGACTAAAAAAATTCAATTTTTCGGAAGAATATACCTGTAAATAATTGAACTTTCTTAAAACGAACATTACCAATTTTTAACCATCCATATGATTAACACTTACTTATCGAATACCTTACATCTATGAATAATAGATGAAAAAATTAAACACTAAGAAGTGGCCCGAACTGGATGTAACAAGGTGGAGAAATGGTATGCTGGGTCCACACCATTTTGCGGGGAAACAAACTGCAAACAGGGAAACAAAATGCAATAAACTGCCTGAACTGAACACTCTCCCCCTCAGTTTCGTACTGGTGCGCATTAGAGTTCAAAAAATTTAATTTTGACTCTAATTTTAATTTTTGGAACTTCTTCGCTTTATTTCCCCGCGAAATGGTGTGGACCCAGCACTATTTCTCCACCTTGTTATGAATAATAGATTTGGACGTATTTCTATCGCACAGAACTATGTGCAGGTGAGAAAGATGGGATCTGCTCATTAGTGCTCAGGTCATGAGAATGAATGGAGCCAGAACTAAAAAAGCCTAAACCAATATTTCCCTATAGGAATGTCGCGTATAAAAATACCAATTTTGACTTTTCAAATCATATGGTTTAATCACACTTGTCCTAAGCGGTAATTCAAAGATTAGCTCAAATAATTCATTACCCCCAAAAAAGTTGTTGTTTTTAGTGATTTTTTTTGAAAATTTTGAAAATGACTTTGTGCCCTTCTAATACTACATGCTTGAACTGTCAAAAAACAAACGTTCCCCATTTTCAACCAATCATATGGATTGTATTTGGCATAAAGGAACCAAGAGCATTACTAATGTTGCTAGGATTGTGCAACTGACATTCTGTGTTATAAAATTACTAAACTCATGCAGCAAATTAACAAAGGTAATTTTCGTCGTAAATTATGGTTTATAGGGAGTAAAGATAAACAATTTTTAGATGATCAGTTTATATTTGCCAGGTAAAAAAAAAACACAATCTCACCACCATTGGAATGCTCTCGGTTCCTTTCTGCAAAATGCAATCCGAAGATTAGCGTTCACTTACCGAGTCGGCGTGACAATGCCCCTCGTCCTCAACCTTCTCTAACAAGTCAGCGCAGTGAGGCCAGTGCTCCCTTGCATCGAAAGAGGACGGTAATTGCTCAACACTCACGTATTTTGGGTCACCAACTTTCCTCACGATATGAGTTTCTCCAGGCCCCAGGTTCGCTTTGAGTATCGTCATCAGATCGTGGTTAGAGTACTGGAATTTTGAGCCCCTCGTGGAATTTTTTGTTCTCTGTATGATATTTTCAATGCTCTCCACTCTGAACTGAAATTTTTAAATAGCACTCATTCAACAAAAAGGAGGACAGGAGCTTAAAAAAAACGAACAATTTGCTTTGTTTCAGATGGATTAAATTCGCTTTAGAGATCAATGCCCTTCGATGTTTTTCTGAAATTACGCCACTGCCTTTAAAGGAATTGAACTTCAAAAAAAAACGCACAGTGCCGATACGTATCAATAGGTTCAGAACGTCGCTTATCGATCGAATCGGTCAAAATTAGAGTAACTATATAGGAAGAGTGTGGACGACTCGAAATATGTAGCTCTTAGGGCCCAAAAGAGTAGGTATAGCCTTTGAACGCGAAAAATGTCACTGTCAATCTTTAGACTCCAATTTCAAACAAAAATGGACAGTAAAATTCATAAGTAAGCATTCTTTCACAAAAATAAGGAAGTTTAAACAAAAACCAAGTCAAGTACGTGATTTACCAACGACAGTTCCCAACAATTGTGATTATAAATCGCCCTGAATAATTTGAATTCATAGATTGCCAACACTGGTAAAAAAAAAAAAAAAACCTCTTGGTTCAAGAGTGCAGTTTCTTGTCACCGGATTTAAGAGTCTGGACTCTTGTTTCAATGCAAAATCCGCTTGAATCAATGCAAAATCCGCTTGAATCAACGCAAAATCCGCTTGAAACAAGAGTTCAAGACTCTTAAATCCGGCGACAAGAAACTGCACTCTTAAGTCAATGCAATGCGGCATTGGTCCAAGAGGTTTTTTTTTTTACCAGTGAACCCTTTTAAGGTCTGAGAGCTCCATCACCTGACTTCAAAGTTTTCGACATGTCCATACTCTCCCTATATAGGTACTCTGGTCAAAATTGTGTGCCTTTCGCGCTCTCAAGTGTGCTTGTTGCATATGCGTAAAAATTGAAGGCGGGCCTCAAGTGGACGATGCCTGCAACTAATAACTGGTTTACGCACTGGTACCAGGGACCCACTATCCCCCCCCCCTTGTGGCGGGCCTGATCGCGACTGCGTTGATGTCATGCTAATTTTCTCATGGAAATAAAATAGTGCATACTTACCGACCAGTTAGGATGTTTTTGAAGAAGCCGAGTAACATCTGGAACTGAGTTACTTCCATGGACAAGAATCAGAGATAATACAACGACTCCAACAAGCATTTTTCCTACTAAAGACGGAACTGTTAAAAGACAATTCATAATACAACAATTATTTCTTTGCGTGACAAAATGATGGATTACTAAATATGGATACTTGGATTTGTATTTCGCAAAAAGGAACCAGGAGAACCGCCGTGTCGTTAAGTTTGTGCAACTTCACCCTTTCCATGAGACTACTCTAATCGTTCAAAAATATGACATTTACGTGTACATTTTTGTCTTAAATTTACAGGTTTTAACGTGTAAGATAGAACATTTTTATTGATGATCAGGTTTTTATTCCAAGACAAAAGAAGTTGCACAATCTTAGCAACATTGCAATGCTCTTGGTTCATTTTTGCAAAATGCAATCCAATTAATTGATAGTTAAAATGACCGATTAATCTTACCCTAAAATCGTTCAAAATAAATTAGTTAAGCAGAAAAAATGAATAAATTAGTTAGCAAATAAATTAATTGTACATTACTAATTTTGCCTATGAGAATCACAGATCAATGGCTAAAGTAAGAAACCACGTATCTCCGTTTGCGACGTTGCAGCCTTCCGGACGTACTGTATTTATTCTTCAGAAATAAGTCAACTTAATTATCGGAAGACCTCCCAGATTTTTCCTCACTGTCAGCGAGAATAATCCGTAGACGTTTCAAACTATATTGACCTGTGCCTCTTCGAAAAAATAAAGTAAGAGCAGGGATTTTGACACACCGCTACGGAGTAACGTGGTTTTCAGTTTGACCATCGATATAATGATTGTGACAACATTGAAAAATGGAATCAAGTCCATTGCAATTAACTATTTTTTTTTTTTTTTTTTTTTTTTTTTTTTTTTTTTTTTTTTTTTTTTTTTTTTTTNTTTTTTTTTTTTTTTTTTTGTGATTTTTCAAAAATTTGATCGGAAATCTAGTAGGTATTTCAGTTTCTAATATAAAGCTCTTCCTGTAAAGTAAACCTTATAATTGCAAGAGCCATCGACTAATATTTTTCCAAGTTGAATACTCCATTTCAAAATATATTCAAGGTTTGTTGATTGCAAAAACGTCACTGATGATCTGAGTGTTTCTATAGGAATTATTATGACACCGTCTCATGTGACACGAAAAAATAAACGGCAGCGGCGTAGAGTCGGCTAAATATGTCAATTAGATACTACTTTCTCACGATCAGATCTGCATTGCTACATGTAATCTTGCTTATGAAATTGATCACTGATATTTCAAAAGTGTGCATTATGAATACTGTCAATGAATTGATGCAGATGTATTCCGTAAATTTCTTTTCTATTGATCCGTTTATATTTCATATTAAAATTTTCAATGAGTCAATTATTATATTTTTGTATTACCCTTCTCGAATTAAATTGGGTCTGTGGTTGTAACAGGAAAACTTGCACTTACCAAGTCCAAAATTACAATTTTAAATATAAAAGCGAATGAAAAACACAAGCACTGAATGTGTGAGTGCCGTTAGCCTATTTATCAAGCACTGTCCGGTATGTAATCCATGAATTCAAAAGTGTTAAGTCAATTCGACAGACATAAGTGTGCTGCGATTGTTTTCATCCAATCGATAAGATTGTTGAAATACATCTTGACTGTAAGTGAAGTCCTCTCCGGATAGCATTAGTCATATTTTCCAAACGATATTTGGACGTATTTATGTTAAAAAGAGCTATGTGCAGGTAGAAGGAGCTATGTACTTGTGCATCGTTTCATCGAGTATGAATTCGTCCATTTTGTGGTTAAAACACCCAGGAAGCTCAAGCTTAAAATTGTATTGATTTGGAAGTTTAATGATTTATTTTTAATCACGAATGCAATATACAGCGTCCATAAATAACTGTCTTTTTTCTTTAAATTGATGACCAGAAAAGAAGAATGTAGCGATCATCTTGAACCTTCGCCACTGCGTAAAGGCACTGGCAGGTACGAAACGTCTTGAAATGTCCAAATGAGAAATTATTTCAATGAGACCTCACTTCAATCCTCAAGATGAGGATTGAGTGCAAACATTGTCTATGTTTAATAAAGCACCTACAAACTTCGTCAAAAAGAAGAATTTACATCATTGAAAATTACAAATCGTCGTCACTTTTCCGCATCTTCTAATCCGATCATCAATCCGAACAAACAATCTTGGATATTCAAAGTTTATACCAAGAGTTCGTATATTAAAAATAGTAACAATAAAATTAACTGAACCTAAAATTGACGACACGCCCGCAATATGTAAAGAAAAAATTAACAAATCAACTGATAAACCCCTATGTGTTAACCTTAAAGACAAGGGAGGACAACATGTGCAATTATTATGCAATAAAATCTCAAATTTTTCTGATTATCTCTCATTTCTTTTTTTTATAATTCTTCTTTTTATTTTGTCACGTATTACTCGCAAAAACTACACCAGAATTTGCGAGGTCAATAATATCTTAAAAGAGAATGCGCTCATTTATACGTATGGAAGCATTGGCGCTCTCACTGTCATTTGTCCAACATTATGATTGCGTGGGTACGACTCCTTCATTCACAGAGACGGCAACTCATGTTACAATAAATATACATAACCGTGCTGGATACAGGATCTGCTCAAGATTAAGTTACATGCAGCTGACAAAAATGAAATTAAAATATTGTGACCATGCTTTTCCAGTTGTAGACCATCCTTGTACATGTCGATGGTGAAACTACCAGACCACGTATCTCGTTTGCGGTGTTTGAAAATCTCCGCTCCATTTTATTTTGTTGAAGGAGAACAAGTAGAAAGTAATATCAATCCTTGCAGTTTTCACGGAGTTTTCCCCGTGCAAAGAAGAAAAATCACGGAAGTTGCAATTGAATTGACGGAGTTGGAATTGACGTCGAATAGTTTTCCATCTAAAAAGTAAAGTATGGAAGGAAGTCTACAACGTTGTTAACCGATTTACAAGGTCTGGTAGTTTCACTGTCGATATACGAGGGGCGTTCAATAAGTAAGTATCCCCCCCTCTCTAAAATCCATAAGAATGGACCAATTTTAAAAAACTTGGGCTCAAAATCTTCCTTAGGATATTTTGAGTTCAACAAAACAAACCGCAACAAAATCGGACTATGTGCGGCCGAACGCGAGCCGTTTGAACGCGCCGAGGTGCTCGACGCTCCCGCCGAATCTGCGAGGATTTGAAGTCCGCTACAGGAGAAGAGCTTCTTTGCCAAGGCCTCAGTCGTTCATCACTGACGAAAAATCAAAGAAATTTTTGTAGAATAAGGGGCTAACCTCACTTCTCCACATAACCAGATCGATCCAAGCAAGTCTGATACTGAGACTAAGACTAAGAGAACAGCTTTTGGATGCCTCGTGCGTGGAAGTCTTTCAGCTGACCGCGGATGAAAGAGTGGACGGCTTGTTTGACCTCTTCCACAGATTCAAAATTAACTCCTCCAAGTTCAGATTTCAGGAACGGGAATAAATGGTGGTCTGGTTTGCCATTTATTAATTTATCTGAAATCTGAACTCGGAGGAGTTAATTTTGAATCTGTGGAAGAGGTCAAACAAGCCGTCCACTCTTTCATCCGCGGTCAGCTGAAAGACTTCCACGCACGAGGCATCCAAAAGCTGTTCTCTTAGTCTTAGTCTCAGTATCAGACTTGCTTGGATCGATCTGGTTATGTGGAGAAGTGAGGTTAGCCCCTTATTCTACAAAAATTTCTTTGATTTTTCGTCAGTGATGAACGACTGAGGCCTTGGCAGAGAAGCTCTTCTCCTGTAGCGGACTTCAAATCCTCGCAGATTCGGCGGGAGCGTCGAGCACCTCGGCGCGTTCAAACGGCTCGCGTTCGGCCGCACATAGTCCGATTTTGTTGCGGTTTGTTTTTTTGAACTCAAAATATCCTAAGGAAGATTTTGAGCCCAAGTTTTTTAAAATTGGTCCATTCTTATGGATTTTAGAGAGGGGGGGATACTTACTTATTGAACGCCCCTCGTATCTTGCGATCCACGGTAAGACTATATTTTTCTGATTTATAAGAAAAGTCTTAAAGAAATGAAAACTTAATGATTTTTATTGTGTAAGATGGACAATTTTATGGTGAAGCCACAACTTTCTTGCTTACTAAGATGAAAGATTCCTTCGTTAGATCGGTATTCCGACGATGTATCTCGTTTGCGGTGTATTAAAATCTCCGATCTTATGTTACTTTTGTGATGGGGAACAAATCAAGTCCTCATAGAATTTTCATCACACGGGGAAGAACATTCTGGGAGGTCATAAAAATTAACGTAGAGTAACTCTCCATTCAGAAACCATTATGTTAAGAAACCATACGTCACAAACCCATTATATTTCTATGCGGAATTGCAGACCTCTTATCAAGTCATATTATTCAATATGTTTGAGAATGGCTGATTATCATTTTGCTTGTGCTTACTCTAAAATCTCTTTGGTTTTACAAGAATAATCTCTAATATTTTCGTATTAACGCAACTGGCTAGGCTAGGGGCACAGAAAGACGCTCATACATAAGCTCTGTACGGTCACCTGTGATAGTTTACTCAACAGGTTGAAAAAATCTATGCTGAAATGCTGAAAAATGAAAGAAAAAAATTATTGATCAATGTATTTTTGACGTTTGAAAACTGTATTTTGATGCATTAGAGAGCTACACTCCACTCGACTACATCATGGACGTGCGAAAGAGGAGTCCAGGGGGACCTGCCCCCCTAAAGTTGAAGAAAGTATCAACTGCCCCACCTTCGGCAATTCTGGATTGTGGGAAAAGACCTTCGTCGAGGATGATTATCTCTCTTAATGTAGAGTCTAAATTGAAAACACCGTGTACACTCACTTAGTAATTTCTAAAATTTTTATCATGGAAGCCTCAAAGTATGCGTCCAAATAGAGTTGAAATTTCAAAAATTTTCCGGATTATTTCAATGCAGCAATTCGAAAGTATTCTTAGCTGAAAGTAGAAAAAAAAATAAACGTGATTTTCCCGAAAAAATAACGGAAAATATGCGTCATGGAACCTTCAAAATGCGTTCAAATAGAGTTAAAATTTAAAAAAAATTCCAGGGGAAGCCCGAACCCCCCACTGATCCGAGGCACCCACTTTCATACCCTCAGACCTCTCCGTGATAGGGAGGCTAGACCCCTCTAGAAAAATAATCTAGATTCGCTTATGATCTACACCAACCAGGAGCTTGAAAAGATGATTGAGAGGAATGCTACGCACAAAAGTTCCCATGAGCACATGTCACGGGCTGGGAGAGACATGTGAGCCTCGCCCATTCAGCTTTGACTCCACAAAAATTCTCAGAAACATTATAAAAAAAATGCAGAACTTGTTGTGACAAAGGGGTACGCTGCCCCCCTCTCTTGTGCTCCCTTCACCCACATTCCTAGATACGCCTCCGCAGCAGCAATGCGATCCGTCCAATTATGTTTATTCTTCGTTAATCTCGGTTCTTTAAGCGCTCGGTTTCAGCGATACTCATTGATGATTCATTAAAATAATTTCAAATCGATCGCTTTATCAATGATAACATGAAGTGGTGCGTCACTTGAAATTTTGTTTTGAATCTCATATGCATTGGAATTTTCGCAGAATATCCTCCTCGCCGGGAAGAGTAGTTTGGAAAAGCTTAGCAAGATTATGAAAGTTTAGAGGATTAAGGAAATTTTCAAGAAATGACGTAAATTAGCTCTGAATGTAAAGAGCGAAGTATAACAGGAATTTTGCAAATCCTCCCACGATACTCTATTTTTTTCCCGCTTTAACCAGCAGCATATATACTCACAACAAACAGATGCCTCTCTTAGTTTGTTGACAGTGAAGGCATTGCATTTTTTGAAGTGCCAAAACGTTTATACTTACACGATTCCTTCGCGATTAGGATAGTTCCTTCAAAATTACTAGGTCTACATATCAGGCTGTTGACGAAGCAGTCACATTGTTTTGTGAAATACTTCTTTTCCCTCCAATCTGCTTAATTTTTAAAGTATTAAATTTTCAGATACAGGCGGTTCTCGTTTTTATTGGATGAAACAATTTTAATCTTCAGTTTACTCAGTTGATAAGTTGCATCTAACATTCTAGGCCCTGTTTAAAAGTGCTTCAATGTACGATAAATTCTGCCTCCCGGAGAGATATGAAGGCACTGAGTACTGTGTGTGGTAGGTACACTGTAAATATTAATTAATTTTTACGTGTTCAACCAATTATATAAAATTTAAGTGTGTGTGCATCGTGCAAATTAAGTCTATATTTTGGTGTCCGGACATTTTCCCATGGATATGTCTCCATCGGACAAATCTCCAACGAGAAATCAGCCATTTCCGCAAAAAAAAAAATTCTCCATAACCAAATTTTCAACCATCTATTTGCATCTTTATTCCGGTCATTGCCTTTAATTTTTACTATCAGTGATATCCTGTCAACGTGCGTAATGTGAAGGTAGAATCCATGGCCATCGCACTATTTGGCACGGGGAAAATATATTGAAATACCACGGTTTTTCTTCTAGATCTACATTGCTGTGTTAAGGAAAAACGCCGTATGATCCTTCGAACCTTGCAAAATTTTAACACAAAAAACGCAAACTTTCTGGAAAACTTGTGCATATTTTTCTTTCAATTTTCATCGAGGATTTTTATCGCAATTTGATCTGAAGTATCACGGGGACGTCCCGTGAAGGGATGGCGGCAGGGCGTTGACGAAGAGATGTTGCGGTGTCAGTTGCCCGATAACCCCTGGGAAGATAGGCATAAGTGGCGGTTGGGTATCGCAGAACGCCAGAGTGAGTAGAAGCGACTTTCATGTATGTGTGATCTAAAGTATTTGGAAATTTCAAGGTAAAAAATTCATATTACTCCTCGATAATAAATATTTTCTCGTGGAAAATTGGGCAACATTTGAACATTAATAGGACTTTTCTTTAGCATGACAGTGTATCTGGCACACTAAACGCAACAAAAACGTAACTTTGAAAAGCTTATATCAGAGAGTTCAATTTCTCTATTTTGCAATCATACTCGAGGGTCATCTACTGCATTTGAAGTATACTCATTGCCCTTCTGACCCACTAATTTTATAAGCGCCATTTATATACTATTCGATTTCAAAAGCAAATCATAACTGCCATATTTACATCACTGTTGGCCATTTGGTGTCATTATCCTAGAATAATTCCAAGTTGAAGACTGGTCTTTGCACAAACTAATTTTTTTTTTCGACTTTGAGTTTTTGGCAGGCGAGAAATACGACTACCGGAACTCAAAAACATCCTTAACTCAATTTTTTCGAAAATGTGGGTTAATTCCTTTCTGATAAACTCGGTCCGAATAACCTCCAAATCGATATTTTATTATTACGTATAAATTTATGGACCTGAAGTTTTAAAATTTTGTCCTCTCTGTTTCGCTTTTTGAAGGATGGAGTACCGACAGCTGGCATTGGAATACAAGCCCGAGTGTGACCTGAGCTCAGGTTTTCCTGACTTTCCTGCATTTCCAGATCACCTGAAAAAATACGTTGCCGAAGTCACCAATGACAAGGATTTAGATCACGTTCTGTACCAATACACTCGAGGCTATGTAAGTTCATTAATATTAATCAAAATTTCATTTTCTGGTTCCAACAGTTCCATCCAAAGTAATGCCAACATAGAAATTACGAAACAGCGTGCCCACGACGTTGCAGATGTTCTCTTTAAACTTCAATACTCCTTTTTTTGAATTGGATAATACTTGAAATGGACGTATTTCTATGAAACGGAGTCATGTGCATTGGGACGTAAACCCTGTTATGCACATATTCTTATGGGTCTCAGGGCTCATGTTTGAATGCAGATAGTTCCGTTTGATAGAAATTCGTCCAAATCAACGGTGGAACTCTTAAACCATGTATCTCGGTTTACAACGTTGCAGAACCCTGTCATAATTGATTCTTTAAATGTGAAATCGCTCAACTTCAATTCATGGAACCTCCAGTAATTTTTCCTCTCTGTGAAATTAATATTCTGTAAAATTTTCAAGCAATTATGTTGAATCGTTTCCTTTAAAAAGCAAAAAGGGAGCAGAGATATTAAAACACGTCAAACGAGATACGTGATTTGGAAAGTTTTACTGTTGATACTTGTGCACAGTATTATTTCTGAGAATATCGATAACGTCATAGATAAATCGTCCGGAACTTTTTGTAAGAACAATGATCAGTCGTTCTTTAAAAAAAACGGAAATTCCTGAGGACATGCGCGCTATGAAGTAAGACATAATCGCACCATCATCAATCAAGAAGATGCACAGAATTAGAGGATGCTACTGTATCGGATATGCGTTGCGCCAATTCAAGAGATGAAGGCGAACAATAATTTACGACGTGCTGGGCCAATGAAAGGGCCATTGGCGTGGCGTGATTTGCGATATATTGATTCTTATGCCATTTAAACCTAAAGAAAAGGATCGATAAAGGGGCTTTCGCAGCGAACACTTTAATACTAGATTCTGTACCATAGGTTTAAATGGCATAACAGTCGATACATCGCAATTCACGCCACGCCACTGAAAAGGGCATAAATATGACGACCATTTACTTAAGGTTCTTTCTATTCTATCTTAGGGGGGGCTTTTACTTTTGTCCCTCATTAAAGAGACACTCGGCACCCCCCCCCCATCCCCCGAAAAGCTATCAAAAGTATAAGCCTTGTTACCCGTACCTAAAAGTAAAATCGAGGTCTCTCGCGAACTCCTTGACTAGTTTCAGAAATCTTCTGAGCTCGTTTTTAAGCTGAAAGTATATTAAATAGTGCGCCTTTTTACCCAACTGATTTATCTGTTTTAGTTCGGAGAATAATTATAATAGCACAACTCAATTTTAGATGACCCTATCGCAGTTTGAAAAGCGACTTCATGACAGAAAGCTTTTGCTAGAAATAAGGAAAAAGAAAAAGAGTCTCAATACATAAATTTGACGCACTATCAGTTCAGTACTATCCCTTTCACCTCATCCTCCTGCAGAAACTAGATTTTTCAAATATTAGACCAGAGACAAGAGATCCTCCACTCGTATCTCGGCTATGCTGGAAGCTTTTACTTTCGCGACTTCAACAATAAACTGCTGACTTACCTACATGGTTGATGTTCAACAACGTGTTGGCAGTTTCGTTTTGCAAACAAGCCGAAGTTGTTTGGCTCATAACGTCACGCGAAGCTCATCACCCACTATGTAGGTAGGTTAACAGCCGAAAAAAGAGTAATGACTGTCGCTCCATTATGATTGTCCATAAGGAACTGTTGAATGCCCGATAGTAAAAGCTTCCACCTTTCGCCAAGATGCTAGTGGAGGGTCTCTCGTCTCTGTATTAGACTAAGACCATTTTATTTAAAATGTTTACAGGGTCATCCGCGACTGGTCAACGCCATCTCCAAATTGTACAGCAAGTTGGTCGGAAGGCACATTCAACCGATGTCCGAAGTTCTGGTTACCATCGGTGGCTGTGAGGCGCTTTACTGCGCTATTAATGGACATGTTGGTCCGGGAGATGAAGTCATTATCATCGAACCGTTCTTCGATTGCTACGAGTCCATGACGATTTGTGCGGGTGGCACTCCGGTTTTCGTTCCTCTCAGAAATGTAAATCTATACTTCAGTTTTTATGTAAACATCACGGAAAAAACGAGCTTAGGGTTGGGACCTACATGTTAGTGCTGGGCACTAACGAGGGTTAGATCAAATGGAGCCAGCAAGTCAGAGGAGTGCTGGGCACTAAACAGCTCGAGGCTGGGTCACTAAGGAAGAAGTAGTGTCAAGCCCTAAAGTGACTTTGGAGCGAGCGTAAAATATGAAACGCCTCCGCCGGGGATCGAACTCGGGTTGCGCCGGTGGAAGACCAGCGCGTTACCACCAGGCTATCGTGACTCCGACGTCTTAAGTGTGAATTTACACCTGATAAGCGCAACTACGTCTCGCGGCATCTGATTAGCACTACTCATGTTCAGTGCTCACCTGTACTGCCTTCCGGTGTTGAGCTGTACAGCGCTTAGACGCCAGCCCTCAACTACTCCCCACTAAACGGCCAGTAGTGCTCAACACTAGTCTTGTTTTTTCCGTGATTCTTATTCAAATCAGATATAAATCATTATAATTTTTTCAGTTAATGAAATTAATATGTTTTTACCCCTGACCTGATTAAAATAAGACCAGTGATTTATCAGCAGTGAGAAAATGTACTCCAAGTCTAAATCCTTCTTTTCAACCAAAAATACAAAATTAACCTAAAAAAGGTGACATATACCTACTTAAAGACCTACCTAAAGTGTTTAAGTCTGAGTCAGCCAAGAAGAGATTCTCCTTCATTTTGTGGATAAGCAAGTTTACCTACTTGGAAGTAGGAAAAGTTGTATTACGCGTTCCGCCCCATCCAACTTTTCTACTCCAGCGATAAAGTCTCTCAGTCAGAGAAAAAAAGACCAGGCTCTTTTTCAGTGTTAAGGATATGCGAGAAAGTTTTGTCGCTTCATAATTGTGACCGGATCTGTGAAAAGGGACCTCATTTCCCGGAAGAAAATGTCCGCAACTTTAAACTCTGCGCGAAAAGCGATCGCGGAAAGCGCCTGCAAAACTGTATGAATACTTCAAGCATTACGCGCGCCGTCCGTCCGATCTCTAGTCTCGTTCACGGCTCTTGACTCGCGACTCACGCTATAGGCCTGGATACACGCTTAAATTTCTATTAATTTCCGATCAAATGTTGACTGATGCGCACCATCTACCATCAATTTTTTGCAGCCTGCAAAAAGTTGATGGTAGATGATGGAACTATAAGTCTCATCTGTCATCTCATTTCCACACAACCGTGCTTATTTCATGCTTATTTCCACCAACACGCTGTTTTAATTAATTTTAGATATCAATTTAGATAACTCTCAACCGCCATTTTTGTCATCATTTCGATCGAAAATTGACGGAAATTTGAGCGTGTATTCAGGCCTTAAGTTCCGAGACGCTATTTGGAAATGCGTAGAGCAGCTTGCGAGCACAACTTCGAAATTTTTACGCAAAAGTGGAACGCATTTTGATTAAACGTAATACAATTTATATGATGAAAATAATATCCAAGGTCGTAGCCTACGTAATTTTTCCACTGCTCTCGCTTTTCGCGAGAGACCGATTGGTCGTTGGTTTGGGAACATTTTGCACCCCTGTGGAATGGTGCGCTAACAATCCAATTTTCAGTGTTTCGGCACAAAAACCCCTTTACTCGTGGACGGTGACATATTTTGAACTCAGTATAAAGATTCTTAGCTGATTGATAGATGACGATAGATCGATTTCTATCGCGCCACGAAGAATTCGGAAGTTATTACTTTCTTTCTTCTCCAATTATAAAATATTGCTTCTCTGAAGTGAGAAATCGCACAGATTTATTTTATTTTTCCAGTTGTCAGAATCTTTAACTAAATTTTCCTAAAATTTTTGTTTTACAGAAAGGAAAGAGCTCTGATTGTGCAAGTTCGAGAGATTGGGTCCTGGATCCGGACGAGTTGACAAGAGCATTCAGCAACAAAACCAAATTATTTATTTTAAACACACCTCACAACCCCTTGGGTAAAGTATTTACCTTTGAAGAACTTCACTTAATTGCTAAATTATGCAAGAAGTATAATGTGATCTGCGTTTCCGATGAAGTTTACGAATGGTTGGTCTACAAACCAGCGCGACACATCAGGATGGGTGAGTGCCAAACATCATAATCATAATTTTTAAAGATTCAAAATGTGCTTGACTTTCAATTTGAGACCAGTTTATGATCACGTGACAACTTAACAATTTCCTCTTTTTTCGATTCGACAAAAGTAGTCCGTTCGTCTCAAACCTGTCTGAATTTTGACACCAAAATTACAGTGCGCGTCTATATAAGCCCAAAACTGGACTTTTTTCGTTTGAGAGGGGAAAAAGTGTGGTATTATAGCAAAGCCTTGAGTATCGGGTAATCTGAAAATTGATTTTTTGGGAGGAATTCTAAGTGATTTCCGAGAGAAAAAATATTTTATTTTGGTAATTTATTTGTACTACAGAACAAACTTGAAGTAATATTGAACTTTTTACGTTTCAGCTACTCTGCCAGGAATGTGGGAACGGACAATCACCATAGGTTCGGCTGGTAAAACGTTCAGTGCGACTGGTTTGAAATTAGGATGGGCGTTCTCTCCGGCTAAATTGATGAAGAATTTGTTCATAGCTCATCAGAACAGTGTGCGTTGTGGGGTCACGTTAATTCAGGTAACTGATATCTTCATTAGCATCAGAAATTGAAACAAGGAGGTTGGAATAGAAAGTTTTAATGCACAAACTATTAACTATTAAATTTTCTCACAGGATTAAAAAAAAAAAAAAAAAAACTATAGGCACTATATAACTATATACTATGATTATAACAATAGGCACTTGTAAAGTAGGTAGGTATTCATATGTGAGCAGTTATTCTGCAAATGTCATGCTGAAAGTCTAATAAAATTAACTAACCAGCTAACTAACTTACTTATCTTCTAAATGTAAAGTGATTAAAATATAAAAGATTTTACTGTATGGATTGAACCATTATTTCATCGAATGGTCACCTTTTTTCATGTCTGATGTAATGAAGCTTATACTGTCAAGTCATAAATTTGTGCCTGACAACCAATAGTAACGAGGTTCTTGTACATTTTTAAAATAAAATTTCAGCTTACAAAATCGCAAACATGTATCCCCGTTAACAGAGTATTGTAAGCGCGGTTGGAAAAGGTATATTCTTCCTTCTAACCAACTATTCAGGGTGTCCCGAAGTTAAACGAAAATATTTTCAGAATCGATTATTGTGATCTGAATGACTTTTTTGTTCTAAAGCGTTTCTTCACGCACCCTCGTCCAGAGTTACAGTATCCCTCACAGCTCAGGACAACAAACCGTTGTTCTTGATTGTAACAACAGTTTTGGATGGGAATGCATGGAAATTGGCACCTCAATTTACTTTTACACCCTGAACGTATTTCTGATCCCCCCCCAAAAAACCAAAATCTTACTTTCGGGGGGATAGAGAGTTCTTATGGGAGGGTTTATAACTTTAATGGAGGTTGATTTTTTAGATAAAACGTTTTTTAACAAAAAGACTAGTTTCGATCAAAAACCAATTTTGAAAATACTGGCTTACTTACTTACTTACTTACTTACTTACTTACTTACTTACTTACTTACTTACTTACTTACTTACTTACTTACTTACTTACTTACTTACTTACTTACTTACTTACTTACTTACTTCTCACTTCCTTACTTACTCAATACTTAGTTTTTGGACACCCTGAAAATCTTGATTTTTTTGTGATTTTTTAGCAACCTGCTTTCAAGAATTTGCAGTAAGAAATAATGTAATACTATTCATCTAATTCTCCGTTTCGATTTCAGGAAGTGGCAGCTCGGTGTTTAGAGCACGAAACGTCCTTGCTTGGTACATCCGACAGTTACCTCGAAAACCTATCCACTGGTTTGCAACCCAAACGAGACTACTTCTGTCGAGTTTTAACAGATGCAGGTTTTAATCCGTCGATCCCGGAAGGAGGCTACTTCGTTTTTAGTAAATGGTCAAACTTAGGTAAGAACTAAAATTAAATTTTTGTATTAGCGATGGATTTTTGGCAATTGCACAGGACCTTTAAGACTGGAAGAGACCACTCCGAAAGTGTGTTTTACCCCCTCTGCAGTTTCTAGTCCCTCATGCCGCCGATGGTTCCGAGCGGTTTCTACTCAGAATACTTCCAGTGAATCGCTTCCCATTCTTGTATATGTAAGTTTATGTCACACGACCAAACGATGCTATCAATATACAGAGTTATTTAAAAGTCACGCACCACTGGCCATAACTTTAGATCTAAATATGATATCGATTTGCGATTAAAGACGTTTTTCCTCATATCGAAGGGAAACTTTTTTAGGTACATTCCAGTTTTTGATCCCCTGGGGGAGGGGAGAGAAGGGCAACTCAAAAATTTCAAACGGCCACCCCCCTCATGGCCAGTGGTGCGTGACTTTTGAATAACCCTGCATCAAAATCAGGTGTTGTGATTAGCTTAGACATTCAATGACTTGGATCAATCACAGGATCTGGCCTTGATATATTGATAGCACATTTTGATGGTGTGGCAATAGCTACGCAGGTAAAATTGACTGTTGAAGAACCCAGCTGTGCCATCGTGAGTTTATGTTCTCTGAGTAATTGAGAAACGCCTTCAATCTCTGATGATACCAACCACCTTCCTACTGAGAGTTCTTGACTACGAGGACTTTTCTGTGAGAATATTGAAGGAATTACGTGTCTTACTCCCCCCCCCCATTTTTTTCCATGTCTACGTGCAATCTTAGTAATAAGTGAACTAGCACAGTATCTAGTGTCCTTCGTTCTTTATCGGATGCGCTGCATCTTGTCTTTTGTTCTTTAGCTCACAGGGTAAACTTGAGCTCTGAAAAGGATCCATACATAGACTTCAAATTCACAAAATGGATGACGAAAAACTTGAAATTACACGGAATCCCTGTGTCCTGCTTCTACCGTGAACAGAACCGGTCTCTTGGCGAAAATTACGTCCGCTACTGTTATTTCAAGGTACGTTTAATGCTTTAATATTCATCTAAACTCCACAGCCTCTCATACTAAAAAACCAGTTTTGTACCCAATAGCATAGCTTATAAAGAGAAAATCGTGTTCCAATGAGCTATTTACTCCTATAAGAAGAATTTCAGTTTTACTTTGAATGTTAAAGCGTGTTGACTAAATCTTCAACACTTTCTTATGATGAGTAAGTAAGTACATATGACTTGGGAAAATCGATAGCAAAGAAGGGCAAGCAAAATATTTTGATGGCTAAATTTATACATGAAAAATGTATTTTTCTGGTAGTACGCTTAAGAACTTTCGATTGTTTTTTCGTTTTACTTCTATTTTTTTAAAGAAAATTAACTATCTTCCTTAAATTTTCTATAAGTATTCTCGACGGGATGAAAAAAATATTATAAAAAGTTTTTCGAAAACAATATCATCGGTATATCTCCTTTCGAAAAAGTAAGAAATGATTTGGTTGTAATCGGACCGATATTTTTTTGACTGAGGTCATCAATTTACAAACTTATAAAGAAAAACAAGTGCAATGTTATACTTCTACTATGGAAGTATCCTAGACTTGGAGAGTGAGCCATTACAGGGGTTAAAATCAATGAATCCTTTTGTCCCGCAGCTAACTTCATGGTTAAAAATCGATCTTTGACTTTTGATCCTCTTGCATTTAATTACAATTTTATCATTTTTTTCCATTGTAACCTCTCAATTTGATGTTGATCTATTGCTTGAAATCATGAAATTATTTTTAATTTCATATCACAGAAAGACGAAACTTTAGCCAAAGCAGAAGCAATCCTCACGAATTGGAGCGGAAGGTCGGAAAAAGAAACTTGATAGAAAACGCGCACTCCGCAAATACTCTCTGTTGTGTTGCAGCGATAAATCTCTGCGTGTATCAATTTAATTTATCATATTATGTATTTTTGTAAGGTTTTTATACTTTTTTCATTGATGGTTCCCTATTCAGTTTTAAAAGACGACCGAGTTACCATTTTTTAACTGTACATTTAAGATGTAATTATGCACAAAGAATAGACTGTTAAATTACTCCCTATAGGAGGAAGAGTTCTGAGTATTTCTAGTAGTTCCCCAAGTATCTAAGTATTTTATGTAACTTGTGACTCTTTTTGCGATGTGACAATCGCATGCACTCAAAATTAAAGTGATTTCGGTCTGTTGCAAGTTTTGATTACAAATTGCACAATCTGAGTATCACTGCAAAACTTCTAGTCATTTTTACAAAGAATGATTAAGTCAATGTTGTCCATTTCATCTCGGAATAGCGCCTTGTGCGTCGAGCAAGCACGAGCGAAAGATAAATTGCCTAACCGCAAATCCGAAGGAAATTCTTTAACTTTCAGCCTACCTCGTCTCGTATGGCGAACAGCTGCGCTTTGCTTCGACAGATGCTTTGAAGCTACAAACGTGATTTATATCGCAGCTGAATACCTTTCTTTAAAGAAAAGTCCACCTCCCAAAAATAAATCCAGGCAACGAAAAACAGGGCTAAACATTTTCGCGAACTGGAAATTGTTTTTTCCACATGCCATTCCGTTCCCTAGAAGAGCACCGCAGCCAAAAATATTTAATTATTTAGTCCTTTGATCGTACAATAAGAGCGCTCTTAAGTAACGAGACACCAAAAAATTGTAGGAGCAGTCAATGAATTTATTGAACATTACGACGGTGAAAGTTGGCAATCACATAACTCGGTTTGCGACGTCGCAGACTTCCTGTCATACTTTATTTTTTAAAGGGAAAACTACTCAACGGCAATTCTTTAAAACTGTCATGATTTTTCTTCTCAATGCGAAGAAAATTCTGCAAAAACTTCAAGAAATAATATCAATTTGTTCTCCTTTATAAAAATGACGTAGAGGCGGAGATTTTCAGACACCGCAAACGAGTTATGTGATTGCCGACTTTCACCGTCGATTAGGTTTTGACAATAACTGTCTATCTTTAGCATTACCATTGACTCAAATTTTCAAAAATTATTCCTTCCTTTCAGACGATAGGAATATGCATGCTTTTACATTTCTTATCTGCATTTTGCTAACATTGAAATCAAAACCAGCACTGCAGTTTAATTTGTCCAATAATTCATGTTATACACTGGGACTATGAAAAGGTCTCGCCCGTAGTTTGTAAATAAAGTGATAAATCGATACCCACTAGTATGTTTGATAATTTGAATAAAAAAAAACACCTTATCCTTTTTTATACCGTTTATTCCTTATTTTTGCTTGACTTGCAGTTTCTCTGTCTTGTCAACTCTCACGATAGTGAACTGGGTGATCTTCGATCTTCCTCGCATCTCAGCTCCACATCATGCACTGCGTTTTTTCAACACTGATACGGGTTAAAACGTCGCTCCCTGACGTAATATCGTATCTCAATCTTCACGTGAGCCCTGTTTGACGTATAAAGCCATGTTTTCTGGGGCTCATGCACAAACCGAGTTACGCCCTTACGTCAGAGGAGCGACGAGTAATCGGCAATCGCATATTACAGCAAGCGGAGGAATGAAATACTAAATTTTGCGCACGCTCCTCTCAGCTCAACGCACAGTGGAAGCTGAAGACACTGGAAAAAGTTAGAAATGACACGTTTTACTGTAATTGCAAATATTTACGTTTATTTTATTATATTACACTGGAAAAAAAAAAAAACACATTGGATCTAGAGTCCAGACTCTTGAAGACATTGACGAGAAAAAATACCTACTCTTGATTCAATCAGATTTTTGCTTAAATCAAAAGGAAATCCACTCAAATTAAGAGGCTGGCTCTTAAAAAAGCCGCAAAGACTGTTTTAAAAGGCTGTCTCGGAAATATTCTAAGACAACAAATCAACGCCCTTTTTAGTTTTTATGTTCCATATTAACAAAAATAAAAGCTTTTAAATTTTCTATACATCATGCTCTCAAATAGCACAATGTATCGAAAACATATCGATGGTGAAACTCCAAAACCTTGTGTCTCGGTTTGTGACGTTGCAGACTCCCTGCCATACTTTATTTGTCAAACGGAAAACTTCCCAACATTAATTCTTCAAAACTTATTCCGTGATTTTTCCTCTTTGTGCGAAGAAAATCCCGTGAAAACTTAATGCAATGGTGTCGATTTGTTCTCCTTCAAAAAAATAAAATGGGCGCGGAGACTTGAAAACACCGGAAACGAGTTACGTGAGTTGGGAGATACACCACCGCTATACAGCATTTTGAAATTTAATGCAATAAAATTGCACTTTTCGTACCATGATATTGCATTATTTGCATTACATCATTTGGTCAATGGATGTAGACGATCATTAAAGTGAGTTCCATGTGGAAAAGTTATATGCGATTTGCAATGCAGTGAATATTGCAACTTATTTCAATTTTATTGCGAGGGATTTCAATCAAACGGGCCCCTTCTATCAGTAAATAGGTAACATACACGAGACTTCGACACGATATTGATACTTTTAACAGGTAATCGCGATGAATTACAAGCTGTGCATCTGGATCCAACCTCTCCCGCCGACTGGTCTCATTGTGCGGTGAAGGCTTTTAAGAAATTTTAAATTTGCACAGACCTGCACGCTGAATGACTCTCTCAGTTCGTTAATGATACTCGCGCGTGTTGTATATGGCTCGCTAGTTCCGTTCCGCAAAAATGTTTCATCCAAAACCACGTGTCACGCTTTTTTCAGATAATGCGAGAGCCCTCACAATTTGTGTACTTTCAGCGAGACGGCTCTAATAGTTGCAGTTTAAACACTCGGCCAAGATGGACCTCAGTACCGTCAAGTAAGTGTTCGCTTATCAGTAATATTCAATGAGACGAAGCGATTTATTTTAGCGCCGGTTACGTAACTATAAACATACTGGCAGGATACGTAATAGTTGCCTCTTCAGGTTTTTTAACTCAGGTGGAACGTGCCAAAGCTAGCGTAGTTCCCATCGTCTTGTTTAGATTTTCCCGGAGGATCTAAGTAGGTCAATTCATCTTGAAAACTTTGTAATGATAGCGGTTTCGTCAAGACGATACCTATCATGAAAGAAGCACTCTGATTAGAATAATTGTGATGGTGAATTTTCTGCGAGGAAAATAATCGTGAGTGCTAAATTGTGAAAAATAATTTCAATAATGGAGGGGTCAGGCGACAGTGAAGGCGGGAACCGTGATTTTTAGTGATTTACAGTGGATAAAAAAAGGAAATTGTAAATTGGAATGATTTAGTTTTCAGCCGGTGTTTTCATCATGTACGCTAGGTAAGCTCTGCTTTTATTATTACATATATTTGTGATCATCCACAGAGGAGGATTCTTAAAGGCTCCAAACTGAGGCGTTAGAACATCGAGGACGATTTTACCAAAATTTTGGAATAATATGACGATCCACAGCTGCGTTATTTCAGATTTAAGTCTGGAGTTGAAAAAAGGCACCATTATTGAAAGAAACCTATATTCAAAACTGAAAAGATACTAGGTCAGAGGTGCTTAATTTTATCAGAGCGCTGCAAATTTTAACTTGAAAGGTCATTCGCTCACCTTAGAACAGATGCAAAAGTTATTGATTTGACGAAAATTCTTGAAATTTTTAATGCAAAATATGAACCAATTCATGAATGAAAAATGCTTTTTCAGGTGAAACTTCACAGTATGTAAGTGCAGTTAAGCTCATCTGGCTCTCATCCCCTTAATTCTAATCTGTCATTTTGAGAGTACAGATTGCTGGATTATATACGTCCAATATGAGCAGATATGATAGTCTTTTATTAATACCAAGACGAATAACTTTAACCGCTCGCAACTCATTCGTTAGGTAATTAACTTTTTCCGTAAACGATCATGTACGAAAAATTCTGTTAAGCAAATAGCCTGCAGGAGACCACTTGTTTCTTCAAAAATGTATTCCCCTTTGCGAAATGTAGCCTTATTGACTCAAAAACAATGGGGAGAAATGCATCATGATTTGAAGAAAATTTCGATCCGGAAAGAAAATTTACGGAAAATTTTACAGGAAAATTTGCAACCATCTTTGAGTGAAGAAATAAGTTTTCAAGTGAACCTTTGCAACGTCGCAATACAATTAAGCCCCGATGGCTCTCACCCCTTCAAGTGAGAGTATATAGGAGTCCAATCACCCTTTAAAACATTTTCACTCTCAACACTGCAAATACATTTTCGAGTACCACTTCAAGTTAGATTGTTTTATGTTATCATCGACTAACGTTGAAACCGTTCAGAATGTTTCACATGGAGAACTTACGCTGCAAAGATCCGGCTTGGTTCATTATAATGGATTTTTTTATATGCTTACTTTATAAGGACGTATTTCTGCCAAACGGAACTATGTGCATTAAGACGTGAGCCCTCAGACCCATAAGAATATATGCATATCAGGGCTCACGTCATAATGCACATAGTTCCGTTTGATGGAAATATATCCATATGCTCGGCTGCATGAGAAAATCACGTGCAGGTTCGTTTCAGTTGAGGCCCTCGATTGGCCAGACGTCATAGTAGTGGTATTAATGAGATGTTAAGATTTTATTATAAGGGTAAAATTGCTTTCAAGAGGAGTGCACTTGAATTTTTATCAAATCCTAAAATAGAGTTTCTCTAATTGTAAGACCAGAGAGGAAGAAAAAACGACGTAAAGAGGCACGCGATCATTGCAGATTAATTGTCTGAAAGCCTTATTTTCTATTTAATTGGATTTTATTTATTTATTTTTTAATGTCTTTACCGAGTAAAAATTTAAAGCTCCTCTGAATATTGGGGGGCTTGGAGGACAAGGCGCATAAAAGTGCAGTTTTTGCTATTTCAAGAGATACGTGTTTAGTTACGAAATATCATGGATCCGATCATGGCAGAGAGAAAGTTGAAAATGACTTTTTGATGTTTAAAGTTTGAGTTTGGGAGCGAATTATTCATAGAATTTGCATTAAAACTAAGTTTTACTTGAAATCATTGCCAACTCATTTTTTTTTTCAAAAACTGCACTCAGGTGCCTTGTCCTCCAAGCCCCGCAAATTGTACGGTTAAAAAAGTGTACAGTCGTGTTTATGACAGCCGTTTACTTCGACTATGACAAGTCACAGCAAATTTTTTTTTAAAGAAAAAAAAAGATCGAAGAAGTCGGGTGAAAATCATTTTCTTGCAATAGAGCGAACGTTTAAACTTTTTGGAGTTGAGCCGTTTTCAAACCAGCCGATTCAATTCCCAGACTCCCACGCATTCGTACGAGCGGTGAACGAAAATTTTGCAAATAACGAAGGACGAATTTGCTTGTGACGTAATCTTACGAGTGCGCAGAGTTTGCAGCTTTCCATCGCGTCAGCTGCACGTCTATTGAGAGTACGGAGTACGTCAAATGATGCCGTTATTTTCAAACATCAGCGCTGAACTCACTCACTCATTGCCGTCTACCACTCCAAATTGATGCCACATTTGGATAGACGCTATTAGCGTGACGTCAAACACAACACGATATTCATCGATTTATTCTCATTGGTAGCATTAAAAAGGGTATAGATCCAGTTTCACACAATGCAGAATCCCTCGGTGACGTCACCACCAGTGCAGTGGCGTGGCGTGAATTGCGATGTATCGATTGTTATACCATTTAAACCTATGGTAAAGAATCGATTATTAAGGTGTTAGCCGCGAACACCCTAATGATCAATCATTTTCCATGTGCCTAAATGGAATTTAATTGAAATCACGAGAAATTTCGTTGCGACATTATATTTTGTCCTATTTTCCTTTTCGCTGT